CTGACCTCGAGCAATCCGCCCGCCTCGGCCTCCCAAAGTGCTAGGATTACAGGCGTGAGCCACCGCGCCCGGCCTTCTCTCAAGTTTTATGCATGTTTAAAACTCAGAAACAGATCTTTGCCAATACAATTTCATGCTACACTCCTTTAGATATACCCTGTGAACAAATCAGATTACTCCAAATAATAGGAACAGAGTAACTTCAGTGGTTTTAAACTTTTATTCCCTCTACATCCTTATCACAAAAAAGATTTGAAGCAGCTGTTAGCCTTGTATTACAGACTTTTATGGTCGGAAGAAAGTGATAATAATTACTCATTCTAAGAGTCCCAAACTTTTTATATCCATCACCAACTTTTGAAACTCCTTAGACTTTAGAGGATTTCAAGTTGGGAACTTCTAATTTAGTCAATTTCTTCTTTTTGAAGAAATTATATTGAGATATAATACACATATTCATAAGTAATCTTTCCCCAAACCAGTCTGATACTATATTACATTACAGTGTATTCAATCAATAAGGGAAGAAAGGTTGACATTTCCCAACCAGGGAGAATTATATAGTCTTCTAATCTACTATATATATGCCATAAAGAAAAGTTGATGTTTTTGAAAAAAGAAATGAAGGAAATCCTGTACAAAGCAGTGCATACCTCCTGTTCTGCCTGATAAAGCTTGACAGTGATGTTCCTTTGGAAACCCACATCATTGGCATCATAGAAAACTCCAAGACTGGTAATAACGATCGGGTAGAGAACTCGGAAACTCACACTGACAACTCGGTCCTCAGAGAGCCCTGATGAAGTGTCTTCAGAAAGACTGAATGCCTCAATTTCCTGATTTAAAACTAAGGAAGTAATGAAAACAGAGGTTTTACATAATCAAACAAATATAACATTTTATTTTACTAATATGAAGTACTGCAGTGGGCTTAACAGCAAAACCTAGATAATTATTTGTTATATAATTCTTTCACAAAGGCAGAAATTTTAAAAAACCCACTAGGCCTGGTGCAGCGGCTCACACTTGTAATCTCAGCACTTTGGGAGGCCAAGCTGGGAGGATTCCTTGAGGCCAGGAGTTCAAAACTAGCCTAGACAACTTAACAATACCCTGTCTCTACAAAAAAAAAAAAAAAAATTAGCCAGGCATGGTGGTAAGCACCTGGAGTCCCAGCTACTCTCGAGGCTGAGATAGGAGGATTATTTGAGCCCAGGAGTCTGAGGCTGCAGTGAATTATGATGACGCCATTGCACTCTATGCCAGGCAACAGAGTGAGAGACCCTGTCTCAAAAAAGAAAAAAGCTTGCAAAAGATGTCTTCTTCTAAATAACAAACTTATTTTGAAAATTAAGAATAAAAGTTTCAGCCACATCCAATTATCAGAACTTTAATAGATTTTTGTGTACACATATATGCAAATATTAATATATATAAATGCCACAGGAGAATATTAGATTTAAGTCAACTGGAAGGCATCTATTTGGAAGGGATGCATAAATAGAGATAATAAAAACGGTACTGACTGCAGTCATCAATAATCAGTAAATTTGGTTTTGCTCTGTAAATTCTAAAAATCCTACTTCTTGCTAGGCAATTTAAAATATTTGTGCATGTCAGTCAGTCAATTATCACAGTATAAAAGTAGCTGAAATAACTTCAAACAACACTGGAAAACTCCTGCTATATAATATTGATAAAAAACAAGCATATCAAACACAGTAAACATTTTGGACCACCTACTATGTGACATTCCCCATCACACTGACATCTTCACAACTACCCTGCATGGTGGTGGCATCATCTCTAGTTTGCAGATTAAGAAACTGAGGCTCAAAAGCATTATGCAATTCACCCAAGGTCACAGAAAGTGGCAGGGCCAATAATAAAACCAAGGTTTAGTGACTCCAAAGTCAGTTCCCTTCCAATCTCACACAGCTGTCTGAACCGTGACAAAAACTATTCTTTTCAAATTTTTTTTCTAATTACCATAAATGAATCAGGATGTGTTACATGAAGCAGTTAATATGGCACAGATATCAGTGCTACTTTAAGAAATATAAAAACCTATTTTAAAAGATTTTATCAAAGTTATTTGTATCTTTTAGAGCTGTGGTTTTCAAATTTTGCTGATTATACAAACCCATCAGTTAAAAAAAATTGTATAACACACTCAAATATTTATTTACAAAACATATACATATATTGTGACCAGTCTATATATTCAGTCTTTACATTCTATAAAGATATTTTCTTCCCATAATCAGGCAGATCATCTGGCTCCCCACATTAGAGCTCCTTGAAGCTATTTTATACTTAATAGATGCTCAATGAAATGTGACTACAGGGTAGTCATGGCTCCTACCTAGTTATAGACATGAGCAGGAGAGAAAAAAAGGAGAATATACTTTTTTGCCATGAGCTGGGCAAGCACTGGCTGGAGAGTCTAGACTCGAAATATACTGGGTGACAACAAAATATTTTCTCTTTAATATATTCAGTAAATAAAAGATGTCCAAAATAGAAGCCTGTCTATTAAAAGCACTATGTCAAGCACATTATAATTTTTAGATATTTTCTATCTAGAACAAATGTACCTTGAACGTCAAGTTACCTGGACATGGGAAATCCTGTTCCTTTAATAATGCTATGAAATTTAACCTTCTGCATATCCACAGTATCATGATGATTAATGCTCATCATGACCTTTAGGTACTGAAATAACCACAAATGCTTTCTATTAGGTTATTAAATATGAAATGTCCGATTTCAAATCAAAAGTTTAGTTTATTATATCTCAAACAAGAAGCAGTACAATTAATCAAAGTATGTGCCTGAATGACTGACACAGTTTTGCCATCTTACTGGTAGCTTGCTTATGCCAGCAGTGAAGAAGCCTGGAGAGTGAGTGGTGATGAAATCATGAAAGGTGTTTTAGACAGCTTGTTGAGAATTGAATATTTTTCCTTGTAAGAAGTGTTCCAAAGCCTGGAAGAAGTGGTAGTCAGTTGGTGCAAGGTCTTGTGAATACAGTGGATGACAGAGAGTTTTCCAAGTCCAGCTGCTGTAGTTTGAGCAGCATTGTTTTTTGCGACATGTGGTCTTGCAAGAGGATTGGTCTGTCTCTAGTGACCATTTTTGGCTGCTTAATCGCAAGCACCCTCAATCATTTCATCCAACTGGTTGCAGTGGATATCCCCTGTAATCGACTGACCAAGTTACATGAATATGTAGTGGATAATACCAACTCTGGATCACCAAACAGATGCCATTAGCTTTTTTTTTTTTTTTTTGAGACAGAGTCTCACTTTGTTGTCCAGGCTAGAGTGAGTGCCGTGGCGTCAGCCTAGCTCACAGCAACCTCAAACTCCTGGGCTTGAGTGATCCTTCTGCCTCAGCCTCCCGAGTAGCTGGGACTACAGGCATGCGCCACCATGCCCGGCTAATTTTTTTTTTATATATATATATCAGTTGGCCAATTAATTTCTTTCTGTTTATAGTAGAGACGGGGTCTCGCTCTTGCGAGGGCTGGTTTTGAACTCCTGACCTTGAGCAATCTGCCTGCCTCGGCCTCCCAAGAGCTAGGATTACAGGCGTGAGCCACAGCGCCCAGCCGCCATTAGCTTTTTTGATGAATATTCGGTTTTGGACCTTGTTTCGGCACTTCATCTTTATTCCAACCATTGTGCTGAACCTTTGAGATTGTCAAAAAGAATCCATTTTTCATCACACGTAACAATACAGTGTAGAAGTGGTTCACCTTTATGTTATGACAACAAAGATAGGCAAGCTTCCAGGCAATTTTCCTTCTGACACTCTTTTAATTCATATGGTACCTATCTATACCAGCTTCTTTACCTTGCCCGTTTGTTTCAAATGGTTCAATATTGTTGGAATAATAATGTCAAATCTTGCTGCTAATTCACGTGTAGGTTGAGATGAATTCGCTTCTACTACAGCTTTCAGCTCATCATTATCCACGTTGGTCTCCAGTCACCCACATGGCTCATTTTCAAGATTAAAATCACCAGACTGGAACTTATCAAACCATCGACATACTATGTGTTCACTAGCCACATCCTTCCCAAACACTTCATTGCTATTTTGAGCTGTCTGTGCTGCACTGATTTCATGACAGAACTCATATTAAAAAAAACATGAAGTTTTGATGGTTTCACAAAATCCATGGTTTCACAAAAATTGCTCTAAAAAATATGAAAGATAATCACAAGCCAAAATGTGCATTTGAAAGGAGGATTTACCTGCACAATTGAAAAAAAAAAAAGAAAGAAATGCCAAAGATATCAACTGTCAAACTTAGTACTTAAGAAAATCGGATGGACATTCCACACTTAATACCCTAAAATAGATCACCAAAAAGACAAAATTAGGTTCAATATTAATTTTGCTATATATATTTTTAAAAAGTTATAACCTAGGTATTTTTATATATATATATGTGTGTGTGTGTATAAATATATACCTCTGAAAGTTTTCTATTAATGGAAAGTTCCACTCCTTTACTATTAAGAATAATAGCACTTAAGATAATAAAAGTCTGGTTAATTTAAAACTGAGGATTTTGTTTGGTTTTCAACTGTAATTTGTTGTGGCTACCACATCATCTGTAACAACATTTAATGAGGTTCATGATCCCCTTGGGACCTCAGTGAAAGTTAAAAGGAGAGGTTCCTAGAATACGGTTTACAGACAAAATTTTGCTTATAATGCTAACTAAATTCATAAACATTCTAAGAAACCCATTTTATAAATACAGACCTGAATATATATACCAATTTATTTAAAAAGTTGTTTGAAACCCAACTTTATAAAAAGGCAGATTCTTTAAAATAACAATATCAAGTACCTACCATGTCCTAGAAACTATTCTAAATATTTCATCCTCACGTCCATCCCCATGAGGTAGAGACACTTTTATCCCTAGTTTACAAATGATGAAATTGAGGCACAGGAGGTCATGTAGCTAGAAAATGGCAGAGCCTGGACTTCAGAGCCCAAACTCTTAAGCAGTATACTATTGCTACCTATAAAAGTGAGGTGTTATTTAATTATATAGTTTTCACAGACCTTAAAATACCAGAAGTCATAATCAGAACATTTAAGACTTGGTAAAATTTAACTTCCCTTAGAATCACAGCTGAACATAATAGGAAGTGCTAATAAACAGTTATAAAGTTATCACCTTTTCAAAAATTGGTTCCCTAGTGACACAGAGAACCTAATTAAGATCAGCTTTCTTCATCCTCACAAGAATCCCTACAAACTTTTAATTCTAAGGAATAAATAATATTACTTGTATTTTTAATTTTTTACTATTCATTTCTTTTGAAGAAGCTTAGGCAATAATTCTAGGAGAAAGTTGACTCACAATGTTTGTATCAATGCTATTATAAATTAATTGGTGAAATCATCAGTTTTCCAAAGTTCAAATTCAGGATTTATCTAAGCATAAGGAATTTCCAAATGCATCTGAATCACACTGAAAAATAAACTCTTCTGGATCCTGAAGTTTTGTATTTGTAAAGACTCTCTACAGATACCCCAATTAGTTCAGTCTGTCAAAAAGGATGAAATCCTAAATTTTGATGAAAGAAATTTAATCTGTTCTAGCACTCTGGGAGGCTGAGACGGGCGGATTGCTCGAGGTCAGGAGTTCGAAACCAGCCTGAGCAAGAGCGAGACCCCATCTCTACTATAAAGAGAAAGAAATTAATTGGTCTACTACTATATATAGAAAAAAAAATTAGCCAGGCATGGTGGCGCATGCCTGTAGTCCCAGCTACTTGGGAGACTGAGGCAGAAGGATTGCTTGAGCCCAGGAGTTTGAGGTTGCTGTGAGCTAGGCTGGCGCCATGGCACTCACTCTAGCCTGGGTAACAAAGCGAGACTCTGTCTCAAAAACAAAGAAAAAAGAAAAAAAAAAAAAAAGAAAAGAAAAAAAGAAAAAAGAAATTTAAACTGTTAAAAATAGACTCCCTCAGTGTGCAGATGTGTGGATTAAAAAAACAAACAAACAGATTCCATACTATTATTAAACTTAGCAACTTTTACTCAACATCAAACTTGTATATGGCAGTCTTAGGAAAAAGATGACTTACCTGGATTCGTGATGTTGAGTAGCTTGCAGGAATAAGGATCCTCCCTGTCTTCCACAGGCACTTCACAGCCATGAGCACCTATTATGAACTTCACAAGCACACTGAGAGATGTGTTGGCATTAACATCAGTTACTGATCTTCACCTCGCACATGCATGTTTCCTCATGCCCATTTCAGAGCTTTTACTTTGAGACACAAGTATTTATGAGGATTAATTCTCTACCTTTATTCTTCTAGTCTAGCTAGCAAAAAGGGGAAACAAGCAAACCAAAAGTTGCTAACTACCAAGGGACTTGTAAGTCCTCTACTGCAATATGATATTAAAGCAAGTATGAATATCTTTGTCCTGACTACTAGCAAATACTCATATCATTTAAAAGTAAACCACAAGTCAAGTCAACTTCTCATGCCTATACCTAAAAAGATATTTATATCTAAAATTTTCCTTTTTTGCTTTCTTCTATTTCAGAAGGTGATCCTTTTGCTCAAGATTAGTTTTTCTGTCTAAGAGAAGGTCCCCTCCCTCTCCTAGACCTTGCTTCACTGGCTACTCCTGTATCCGTGGCTCCTTCCTTCCACATTATAAATGACAGTATCCTGACACTAATTTCTATTCACCTACCATCCTTCCTTGTCACCACACTCCTTTATACTGAGGTCCTACAAAAATATTAACTAAAATTGCAGCCTCTAGTTTCTTACTTCCCACTTATTTTATAAAATAGGAATTTTAGCTTCAACACCCACTACTTCCACCAAGATGCCTATCACCAGTGTGACCAAAGATCTGCTGCTGAATCAACAGACACTCTTCATGCCTTACCTACATGACTTCTCTATGGCTCAATACTGCTGATCTCCCTAAAATGCTTTCCTCCCTCCTTCCATGGACTGCTCAGTTGGCTTCACTGGCTCTTCTTCCACAGCTTGTCCACTGAGAGTGGATATTAGTCCAGGGCTTTGCCCTTGGATCTCTTCTCAATCCACTCTTTTCCCTCCCTCTCCCTGGACATTATTTATTCCCAAGGCTTTAACTAGCCTGGGAATGATTCTTGAATGAGTTACTCTAGTTCTGACCCATCTTCTAAGTAAAAGATACATAAATTCACTGGACATCTTCACTGAGATGACCCACAGACAGTTGTGTGTGGAAGCTTGCTCAGACTAGCTTATGAGAACCAACTGTTAAATTTTCAGAAATTTTGTGAAGTGGTTATTAACCATTAAACACAACTTTTATTAAAAATTAAATTATATACACTTACAATTAAAAACATATTAAAGGCCAGGCGCGGTGGCTCACACCTGTAATCCTAGCACTCTGGAAGGCCGAGGTGGGCAGATCGCTCAAGGTCAGGAGTTCGAGACCAGCCTGAGCAAGGGCGAGACTCTGTCTCTACTATAAATAGAAAGATATTAATTGGCCAACTAAAAATATATAGAAAAAATTAGCCGGGCATGGTGGCGCATGCCTGTAGTCCCAGTTACTCAGGAGGCTGAGGCAGAAGGATTGCTTGAGCCCAGGAGTTTGAGATTGCTGTGAGCTAAGCTGACGCCATGGCACTCTAGCCTGGGCAACAGAGTGAGACTCTGTCTCAAAACAAACAAACAAACAAAAAAATATATATATATATTAAAAACAAAGGAACTAAACACTCAAATTAATCATTTTCTGATTTTATTACATTTTACTATTATTTATTTAGTTCTATTACATCTCTATGATGGAAATCTTCTACACAGTGTACTACTGCTTATCTTTCCCCAACTCTGTTCAGTGATGTCCCATTAGGTGCTTGAAATTTGCCATGGGGGGAATATTTACACCATAGAAATTGGCAAACAATACAAATAATGACTTGATTTATTGTTTTGTTGATTGTAGACTTAAGAAAGAATGGAGAAAATATTAACAATGCAGATCAAAGTTAATGTGATGTATCTATAGCTATTACATTGTGGATAGTATAAAAAAAAAACAATGAAATACTATTCTAGTGTTCAAAAGTCTTATTAGATTCAGCAAAGAAGCCACAGACTTCATCAACAAAGAGTAAAGTTCTGAAATATCTTAGTTGTCATTTTAGTCTTAACTTTTAAAAGATTTATGTCAGAACTACACTCCTTTGTCAATTGCAACCATAAATTGGTTACAGATGTAAAAGTCTGGCAAACAGCAAAAGCATTCTATGAGAATCCACTGGCTACGTGGAATTTACAAAAAAGATTATTGTGTATGTTAATATCTGTCAATTATGTGGAAACATCCTTTATATCAATAAAATTTACAATAAACCTATGTACAGATAAGCATACTTTTTTCCAGAGAGCCAATTGGTAAACATTTACCAGTATATCAGTGCATGCAGGTACCTCAAACTCAACATATCACAATTGAGTTTCTTTCCCATAAAACCTGCTCTTCTTATGTCATATTTTTGTCTTGATTGATGATTCCACTGTTCTCCAAGTCAGAATGCTATATCCTAGACTCCTCCTCTTTCTACATTCAATGACCTTACTCTCATATTCTCTTACAAAGTCATCACTTTTCAGCCTCTCAGCAGTGCTTGTCTAAACAGGTCTCACTCTTCCACTTAACCCTTATTCTGCATGATCTGGTCACTGCCTACCTCTCACAGTCATACGCCTTCCCTCTTGTCTTCATATGCTTTCTCTCTGCCCCTCCTTCCCTCCCTGGAGCTCTCTCTCACACTCTGCTTCCCATTCCCTATAGTCCCTGTGCTCCAGTTATGTAGAACTGCTTGGAGTTTCCCAAACACTCCAGACTATTTTATTTCTATTTATATCACAGCACATATAACATGTATTACACTATTACATCTATTCCCTTCTACTAAACTTCAGGCCCCCCTAAACACTCAGCTGTATCTATCTTTATACTCTACCACACATAGTATACTAACTGCTTGCAGAAGATACTTAATATGTTAAATTGACAAATTATGATTTTATTAGAAAGGCTTAGAAGATCCTTGGAATATATGTTGAGTTTGGCTCCTTCAGTAAAATGCAAGATTAGAAAGTAAACCATAACCACAGAAATGCATTTTCTTTTACTAATGACCAATTAAGGCAGAATCCTTTCATAGACAACTAGCATTTGGGATGAAAGTATAAACAGAAGTGAATAAATATGCTAAATTATTGCATATATTTACCAAATTTGGGGGTTTTTTTTGGTCATCTTACATACTTTTTATAGATCCACAAAACTACCCTGCCCCAGGAAGTTCTTTTTGCCTAATATCTATTTTTATACAGACAGCCAATCATTTTCATCACACAAACCAAGCTTACCAAAGCAAGACTGCTATGATGGCAAATAAATTACTGGCAAATGTATGAATGTTAACTTTACTCATTACCATTTAGTTCTGAGTCATTCATTCAACAGTTGTTGAGTGCCTTAGTCTGTGCCAAGCTAGGTTCTTAGCACTGGGAATACACCAGTGGAAAAAACTAAAGCCCCTCTGCTCATAAAACCTACATTCTAGCAAAGACAAACAATTTATAAATATACAACTAAGTACAATAAAGATGCCTGTTGGTGATAAGTGCTATAAAGAACAATAAAGCCAACTAAGAGAAGACAGAGACAGAATAGGGGGGGTAAGGTGTTATTTAATATGGGCTGTCTGCTAGGGTGACATCTAAACAGAGACCTAAAGAAAGGGAGCCACGAGGACACTTAGTGAAAGAGTGGTCCGGGTGGGAGAAGGGGGCTGGAGGCCGGAAAAAGCGCAAAAGCCCTGAGGCAGGAGCATGTTTAGTGTATTAAAGCACAGCAAGGTGGTCAGTGCAGGGACAGTAGAGGTAGATAAGGTCAAAGACCATAATAAAGACGAAAGGAAGTCAGTGGAGGGGTATGAATAAAGAATTTCCATAATTTGACTAATTTTAAAAGGACCTCCCCACTGTTACATGGAAAATAAAATGTATGGGGTAAAAGGTAGAAGCAGGAAATTCAGAGAAGGGGGCTTCTGTAATAATCTAGCTGAGAGGTAACGGTGGCCTAGATCATGATGGTGGTGGTATAGGTGGCGAGAAGAAGTAAGATTCTAGATATGACCTAAAGGCAGCACCAAGAGGATATGCTGATGGACTGGATGCAGCACACAAAAGAAAGATGAATCGAGATAACATCAAAGTTGTTTTGGTCTGAGCCAAATAATGACTCCTGGTAGAAGAGTGATTATTGTCTGAGATGGGGAAGACTATAGGAAATGCAGGTTTAGAGGTGGTTCTGATAGTAGAAAGATTCTGAGGTGTTCCATTTGCTGACTAATAGGTTCTATTATCATTGCGATCATGAACTAAAGAAACCTGTTTTGAAAAGGAATGAAAGCTGCTATGAATAAGATTACTACTGGTGACAAGAAAATTCACGACCACAATTCCCTTGTATGGGCACTCAACCACAAACATGTCAGTTTAATGCAACCCCGAGAGGGCTTTCTCTGCTTATCACCTAAGCAGTCTTCTCTTAACTAGAAGTCCAACTGTCTATGCATCTCTTTCCCTAACCCCTCACTACATAATCTTCAGAGGCTGGTCTCTTTGAAAACAGACTAAGGCTCTGGGCCCCTAACTAATAACTGAGCCATCTAATGTCAGCATGAGATGTACTACTAAACCTCAGTTCTGGAAGAGTAGTCAGGAAAAAGCAGAATGGCATATTATAAACACTGCAGATCATACAAAAAATACTACAAACTGGAAAAAATTAAGTTTATCTCTGGAAAGTTAGTGAAAAGCATATTTAGACAGAAATGTGTCTAAGCAGAGAACTACCCTGGAATAGAACCTTCCAAGAATGGCTATTCTAAGCCAAAGCAAGAAACAAACCATACGTGGTATCTATAAATCTATATATGTTAACAAGTGAATATACTCTCTTCCAACTAACTTCTGGCTTAAAATCTTGGTTAAATTTACTTTTTGGCCCAGCTATATAGAAGAAAAGCAAATGTAACAGCCATTTCTCACATGAAAAAAGGCCACATATCTGAACTAACACCTCTGACTATCCAAAATCAGGTTTTTCAGAACTCTAATTTTGGTAAACCAGACAAGGTAACCTCGGAAAACCTACCGTTGACTTAATGCAGGATGTTGTATCAAATGCTTCAGCCAGGTACTTCTTATCACATTTCGAAGCTCATGATTATTGCGAGCTGACAACACACCAACTACCACATCATAGTGACGAGATTTCCACTGAGGAAATAAGGCCAACTGATCTAGAAACAAGCAACAATAATTAAAAATAAGTCATATTCAATTACTGTCATGTTCAATATGTAACAGTTTATTACAAAATAAAATATTTATATTTGCAGAAAATACAGATAAATATAAAGAAAACAATATTAAAAATCCCCCAAAAACCCGTTATCCAGAGATAACCACTAGCACCATTTTGGTAGTCTTTTTGTCTTCCGCGTATACGTATGCATTCATGCTCACATAAGTATACAAATTCTTCAAAACAAACCAGATGTTTGTGATAACAATCAGTTTTGAAATGCAACGTGGCATCAGCAATAGAACAGTAGGCAGTGAGAGTCAATGAAGCTGCTGGGCGCAGTGGCTCACGCCTGCAATCCTAGCACTCTGGGAGGCCAAGGCAGGCGGGACTGCTCGAGGTCAGGAGTTCAAAACCAGCCTGAGCAAGAGCAAGACCCTGTCTCTACTATAAAAATAGAAAGAAATTAATTTGCCAACTAATACACATAGAAAAAATTAGCCAGGCATGCCTGTAGTCCCAGCTACTCGGGAGGCTGAGGCAGCAGGACTGCTTGAGCCCAGGAGTTTGAGGTTGCTGTGAGCTAGGCTGACGCCACAGCACTCACTCTAGCCAGGGCAACAAAGCGAGACTGTCTCAAAAAAAAAAGAGTCAATGAAGCCACAGTTAGAATCATGGCTTTGTCACATATCAACAATAAGCTATTTAACTTCTCGAGCCTCAGTTTGCTTAACTATAAAATGGGCATAATAATTCTCATAAAGCTGTTGTAAAAATTAAATGAGATAATGTGTTTCTATTCTGGTGCCAGGAACATAGTAAGACCTCAACAACAACTAACAAAAAAACGTTCTTTGAAAGGTGAAGTCCTATATCAAAGCTATTTAATTTGGGAAATGGGCTGGGTATGATGGCTCAGGTTTGTAATCCTAGCACTTTGGGAGGCCCGGCAGGAGGACTTGTTGTTTGAGACCAGTCTGGGGAACATAGGGAGACCACATCTCTACAAAATATAAAAAAATTTAGCAGGGTACGGTAGTGCATGCCTATAGTTCCAGCTACTTGAGAGGCTGAGACAGGAGGATCCCTTGAGCCCAAGAGTTTGAGGTTACAGTGAGCTATGATCTGGCCACTGTACTCTAGCCTAGGCAACAAGGCTGTCTCTTAAACAAAAAAACAAACAAAAAAATTTGTGGAATGAAGTTGAAGCACTTCCATACTGAAAAGTATCAGAACCTTTATTTATGTCAATGAATTCTATTGCCAGCAAACTTTTTATTATCTACTAAGTATTCTAAAGAATGAAGGAGGGGAGACATTTTTAGCAAAAAAAAAAGTAACAAGTCACATGAATGGCTCATTGTTTACTGTCTTAGGTCTAATAGGTCTATGTTTCAATTTCTAAAACTTGTCCTTCAAAAGAAGACAGAAGAGAAAGATATTTTGCTTTCATCACCAGTTTTAAGGCTTGAGAGCTACAAGCTTATATACAGCTCTGATAAGAGATTCATTTCATCTTTTTCCAGTGGTAGGAACTGATCCAAAATGTTTCTGAAAATAAATTATCAAAGGCTAGAATCTTTACTACATTAAATGCAGTGTTTTTATATGCCATAGGACCTAGATATTCAGGCTAAAAGACAACAAAAACATGTTATTTTTTCAAAGGTCCAATAAAAATAAAATCAGGAGACGGATTCTTCTACTAGAATAATTTTAAGGATATTATAACAATTATAGGAATACGGAAATTTTTGTGTAGATACCTTATTTCCCCAAGATATAATTTTACTTGTTATTTTGCCCTACCCTTGGACTCTTGTACCAAAATGAATTCTTCTATAAAGACAGAATTTATCTTTAACATAAATCCAAACCTTGATGGATTAAGCTTATCATAGGCCACATTTTCTTCTTGAATACCTAATATGTGACAAGTACTATAAAGAGAGTATCATTTAATTCTCACAACTCTGAGCTAGGTAGGTACTTACTGAACAAATGAGGAAGCAGGCACAGAGAATTCAGTTACTTGCCTTACATCAAACAGCTAGGAAAATGGTTGGGCTAAAATTTATTTCAAGGAAATATAATTCCATTCTTTATAACTGTTCTATAGCTATACAGTTTAATGTAGCTTAGCTGAATCTAAATTGTGATCTTTTACCTTATAAAACCACTTCAAGTGGTGAATTAGTGCTAAGCAGATCACTGAAGATGCTGGTTAGTACATTAATTTTTTTGCATTCACGGCTCAGGAACATTTTTTCTCAGATATTACCTATACAATAAAAGTTGCACCTTTGCTGGAACTAACTGTAAATGGGTCTGAATTTGGGGACTAATTTAAATGATTACATAAAATTGGAATGATATGCCACCCTCCCCCACACTGTTTCACAGAGAAACTTTTTTTTTCCCCTTGAGATGAGTCCTCACTGCCCCGGGCTAGAATGCAGTAATGCAGTATCATCAAAGCTCACTGCAACCTCAAACTCATGGGATCAAGAGATCCTCCTGCCTCAGCCTCCCAAGTAGCTGAGACTACAGGTGTGTGCCACCACACCCAGCTAATTTTTAGATTTCTTTTTATAGGGTTGAGGTCTCGCTATGTTGCTGAGGCTGGTCTTGAACTCCTGGCCTCAAGCAACCCTCCCACTTCAGCCTCCCAAAGTGCTGAGATTATAGGTAAGAACCATGACATCTGGCCCCTCACAGACAAATATCAAGTACATTCTAGTGACAGGAGGGAGACAAATGTAGTAACCAGCCAGTTGCCATTGATTCCATAGCCAACATGCTATATTACCTCACAGTAAGAAGTTATTTAAATTCCTTGTGCCTCAGTTTCTTACTCAGAGAAAACTGATACCAAAAAAGTCTTTAGACATTCTATTTCATCCGTTTCAAAATGTCATTTCGAAAGATTAAAAGCTACAGAATGGCAAAAAAAAATCACATTTAGTCTAAATGCCTCATTTACCTGACATCATCAGAAAACAAGGTTGCTATACAAAAGCAAATTTTCAAAATAACGTAAATATCCCTTTTAATGCCAAACTTACTACCTTATTTTTCATGGATAATCAAAGTAAATCTTCTAGAAATAGACTACATGGAACATAATTTAATGTTTTACTGATGATCCAAAATCTTCATGAAAAATTTTTCAAATCCATCCATTTTCATAATCAATTCTAGCTGCTGCTTCAGTTCAGATTGTTATCATTCACCTAGACCAGTATATAAGTATCCTATCCTAGTTAACTAGTTTCTCCCTGACTTCTCCATACTACTGTCAAACTAGATTTTTCTAAAAATAAGTAAATAAAAAGATAACAGTGTGGCATGGGAAAATCACATGGATTAAAGATGTAAACTACTTTCTGATCTCATTCCACCTCTCTGCCACTGTCAATCCTCCCGACTTGTAATCCACATCTAAGCTGCTTCTATTCAACTGCTTTACATTAATTTCTCTATTCCTTACACAGAGGAAGTACATGGCATGTTTCGGCCTTTTAGAGTACTTCCAGATATACTGAAGTTAGACTTCAGAAAAATAGTTTTCTTCTATCACATATCATCAATGTAAATCAGTCCAATAGACTCCTGAGTACTGTGTTACACTATAAAACCCAAATTAAATGCTTAATAAAAACCTGTGTAGGAACGTTATTCAAGTTCCTAGTTCCTTTACCAATCTGGCTCTACACTCCATGACCTTCTGTTATTTATTACAAGCATAGGGTACCTAGTTTGATTCTGGTGCCTGGAAACAGGTTTTTAAAAAAAGGAAAACTAAGAAGTAAACATGATACAAAAGGACATAAAGATAATTCACAACAGAAGAAAGGCAAACAGTTAATAAACCTACGAAAAAATGTTCAACTTCACTAGCAATCAAGTTTGAATTAGAGCAGTAAGATACCAGTTTTCTCTTACATTCAAACTGACTTCAAAATGTCTTCTTAAATGATAATAACCAACTGATGGGCACTTCAAGGAAATGTTGATAGTGATTTCAAGGAAATGGTTACTCTCAGGGCTGGCAGGAATGTAATTTGGTACAGTCTTCTGCAGGGCAATTTGGAAATAAACATCAAATAACTTAGAATGGTATCAACTTTGCCCAGCAATTCTATGCCTAAGAATTTATTCTAAAGAAATAATCTGTGATGCAGCAATGATCTCTATTCAATACAGTGTCATTTATTAATAGTGAAAAACCGCAAGCTACATAAATGCAACAAGGGACTCATTAAATTATGATGTCTCTATAAGACAGAATACTATGCGGTCATTAAAATTATGCTGTAAACATATCATTAAATATTATTATACATCATATTAAGCAGGCTGTAAGAAGCACATACATACTGGGTGGTTCCATTTCTATAAAGTACAAAAGTAGTCAAATGTCTGCCATTAGAGATCAGAATAGTGGTTACTACCCTTGGCAGTGACAGAAGACAGCATGAAGGGAGCTTCTGGGGCAGGCGTCCTCAAACTAAGGCCCGTGGGCCACATGCAGGCTGCCTAGCACATTTATTCAGCCCTCTGGGTGTTTTTGCCGCCACTGCCTGCCCTGCTCAGCAGCTGACTCCTCCTGGGCTCACAGTGCGCACTCTCCGATGGTCTGAGGGACAGTGAACTGGCCCCCTGTTTAAAAAGTTTGAGGATCCTTGTTCTGGGGTGTTGGTAGTTTTCTTTTAATTTGGATGCCAATTAGTTGGGTATGTTCAGTTTGTGAAAATATATTCAGCTGCAGTTACATGTGCGAAAAAATGTATTATTATATATCAATACAATTTTTAAAATATATTAAATAATTTCACCCAACACACATGCACTTTTTTTTTTTTAACACAGAGTCTCACTCTGTTGCCAGGGCTAGAGTGCCATGGCATCAGCAACCTCAAACTCCTGGGCTCAAGCGATCCTCCTGCCTCAGCCTCCCGAGTAGCTCGGACTACAGGCATGCGCCACCATGCCCGGCTAATTTTTTTCTATATATTTTTAGTTGGCCAATTAATTTCTTTCTATTTTTAGTAGAGACGGGGGTCTCGCTCTTACTCAGGCTGGTCTTGAACTCCTGACCTTCAGCAATCCTCCCACCTCGGCCTCCCAGAGTGCTAGGATTACAGGCCTGAGCCACCTCACCTGGCCACACATATGCACTTTTGAAAATGGTCTAGAAGCAGACCATTTTTCTTTCCTTTTTTAAAAAATAATTAAAAAATTTTCCACAAAGAACTTGTTTCACTTTTATAAGAAAAAAATTTAAATCCTGAAGTTTTCATGGACTGTAAGCAGATGATCCAGAGAGAGGAAACTGTCCATTTTTATGCTTAGGTTTAACAAAGTATGGACAGTCATGTACAAATATGGTTGGACAAAAGGGGCATGACCTAATGCTAACTGACTGAGATTTGGGAAACCCAGCAAGGCCTGTCTATCAAGATGATTCTTGTCCTCTCTGAGCATGTATCGTTTCCTTCTGGGTATGAGGCAGGACCCTCTCTGCAATGAGGGTCTTATCTACAATCTTAGGTCTCACCTACAATCAAACAAGGTAGGTCAGATAATTTCTTTATGGCTAGTTTTTATATAGAAAGGAAGGGGGAAAGTTAAGAATAGTATTTTTAGGTTTTTACGGCTCGTTTGGGGAAAAAGGGGTTCTAGTTTCTATAGCTAGCCCCCGAGACAGGAGCATAGGACAAGGCCAGAGAGAGCTGCTTCTGAGGCCTTTATTTTGGGGTATTGTTTTCTGAGACACTACAGTAATAACTATTTTTCTTTACTATATAATATATTCTGAGAGTCTAGCAACCTGCTAGGCTCTGCACTGAGAGGGGACATCCCAAAGTATATTAAAGTCTAAGGGAGGTTAATGTCAAACCAATATTCAAAATAAGCGTGCAGAGTCCTAAAAATCAGTCCAAAATTCCACCCTCATGTGCATGCTCTTTGATGACATCAGTCACAAACAGGCAGGAATCTTGAAAATGAGGAAAATATACAAGTCCACCACAGATCTACTGATAAGGACAATCATCACACACACTACCAAAGATACCTCCCAAAACACCAAACACAGGCATCGGCCACCACCATACTATTAATACTACTATTCCCTAAAATTCATGGAGTGTTTACTATGAACCAGGCACTGTTCTATTAATTGAGTCTTCACAGTAACTCTATGAGATCATTTTATAAATAAGGAAACTGAAGCACAGAGACATAATTAGCATAGGGATAATTTTGGAAGAACTAGCCCTAGGCAAAATTGCCGAAGTAAGCTCAATTTATTTTTGACCTTCCACTTGCCTTATGTCTGTTTCCATTTGACACACTGTGAGCACCTAGAGAGCAGGAACTATGCATCCAACACAACACCCAGCACTAAGTATTTGTTGAGTGGATACATGTTCCTTTCCTTTCTCTTGGGTTTCTTTCTTTCCAAATATGCTAGAAAGATAAGCCACCTTTTGCCACATTGTTTTTCTAAATTAAGCATTAAATAATTCCTTTCAAGGCATTACCCCAAACCAGTATGTTGTAATCAAGATATCCTATATCTAGATTTCCTAGTGCAATGGATATCTCCTTCTCCATTTTCCTCTTGTCACCCCTAGGTGTGCTCGATTTCACAAAAGAAGATCTGCTTCCTCTTCACCAATTGCTCTCCCTGACTGGTTTCTGCTATTTCCGGCAAGCTACACATTAGAAAAGTTGCTGATCCTGGTACTAACATGGCTCACTCACTTCAGCCACATTCCTGCTCAGCTCTTCAAAATGGCCTTCCCTGACTTCTCTATATAAAACAGCAGCCCAACATTCTCTTCCATTGCTTTATTTTTCTTCACCATACTTAGCTCTACCCACCCTGTGATATTTACAATCAATTATTTCCTTATGCTTTGTCTCTTCTTCTAAATTGTAAACTGAATGAGGGCAGGAGCCTTAGCTTGTAATTCCATACTTACAACAGAAGCTGGCACCGAGTAGGCTCTCAATTATTTGCTGAATCAACTGCCAACCACAGCATCTTTTTAATATTTAGGGAAGGTAAATCTCTCTTTCAAAAAATACTGCCAAGACTTAATGAGATTGAAAACAAAGAGGCAGAAGAGAAAAGAACAAAAGTAAATCTTCAAATGCTAACTCAAGACAAGAATACTTAGCAAAATCTTGGGTTTCTCTCTTTCCTCAGGCTTAAATTATAAGGGTTAAAATGTAAAAATGCCCAAGTGTTTTAGATCTAACATGGTGACAGCACAATGGGAAAAGCTGCTGTAGGAAATTTTTGCAATCAAGATATTTCCACTGCTTTTAGTTTTGAAAGTACCAAAAGGAAAACAGGAAAGTTGGGAGTCAGTCATGTTTAATTTAGATTAAAATAGCCTACTTATCATCTGACCAGATGCACAGCATCCATTCAAAGTTAAGTTAATTTATGTAACTAATATTGATCTTCTCACCTATATATTAACATTACCCTGTCCCTTCCTACAACTACTTCTTCATTTCCTTGATCTAGCCTGCTCTAACTGGATGGTAGATAAAGGCACCATCTAAACACTAAGCGGGTAGGAAAAACTTTTCTCAAACTAAGAAATTGCCTGGCAGGTCTACTAAGTTTTAAGCTTGAAGGCAGGGCTTTTGTGTGTTTTATTAAAACCTGAAAGACTGGTAAGGTCATAAATATTCTAAGGATGCTTTGCAAATAGAATACAGGAGAGCTCACTTATATATAAAAAAGAGAGAAACCAGTAAAACACAAACCCAACAGATGTTACAGAGAATTATACATATATATATATACACATACATACATACACACACACACACACACACACACACACACACACACGGCACTCTTTTCTAAGCTCAGTTTACAAAAACCTAAAAAACACAAAACAAAACCCCAACCTGTGAACAGGTTAAATGCACTGTAACAGTGTACTTTCATTAAATCATTTAAATAGTGTTTAATTCTATTCAGGTGACACAAATCCTTTTCAAAGAGCTGGGGGATTGTCTAATAGAAAAAGATTGTTACCAAAATGACCCCATTATAATCTCACAGAACAGTGAAATTGTTTTGAGGATTGCCGAATACTTTCTACTTATAAGGTGCATTGTGCTGAACTGCAAATAATTCTAATTTTTAAAACTTCTGTATAAGAAAACAGCTATTTTGGGGAAAGGTGGTAAAAAAAAAATCCCAATATAGTTAAAAAACGAGTATTACCTCATCTTTAAAAGAGCTTTCTAGGTTTCTTTACATATCCTATAAAGATGTATAAAGGGTAACGGATCAACAACTAAGTGTGTCCAAATGTTATAGGAATAACATTTATTGGGTGTAGGCCGGGTGGGAGGGGGGAGGGAGGGCATGGGCAATATACGTAACCTTAACATTTGTACCCCCACAATATGCTGAAATAAAAAAATAAATAAATAAATAAATAAAAGATGTATAAAGGGGCGAGCCCTTAAAAAAGCCAAGAGAAAAAGGGAAACCTAGTGTTCAGGGTGGTGAAACCTACTAACAAAATAATCCACTGGGTACCTACTGTGGGAAAAGCACTCCATTAGGGTGCGAAGCAAACAAGAGCAAAGATTTCTTTCCTAGGAGATTAAGTTTTGGAGCAAAGGGACATGATCGTTAAAGAATTTGGTATTTCCATGTAAACTTCATTAGTAGGCTATGTGAACCAAACTCACAGGAACTCCACTCAGCGCCATGCCCTATTTCATGTCTAGATTTGTTTAACCGACTTGCATCATAATCAAAATGCAAAATACAGTACATTCTTTACAGCAAAGTTATTCCTCAGAAGCAAAACCCAGCCATACATTCTTACAGCAAAGTTATTCCTCAGAAGCAAAACCCAGCCACGCTTAAAATCACGCACAAACATTACCCACGGCACTAAAACCTCAAAGTCTTGACCGAGGAAAACCAACAACTTGGGGAGGAAGAAAAACTTTTGAGCCCGAGCTTCCAAAGCAGCAGCCGCTGGAGCTGAAGGGAGCACGAGGTTCTGCTCCCTGGGCGGGCGTCGCACAACGCCGACCAGGCCTGGGGACAGCCGAAGGACTTGCAGCTGCGGGCACCGGCTGCGGGCCGTTAAGGGAAGCGGGGAGGTGAGAAGCCGCGGGGACACAGAAAGAGAACAGCTCCCTCAAGTTTGCCCGATGTCGACGCTCCAAGCATGAAAAGAACCATTTGTTTCGGCTGGGGACCGTCGTGTTTGGCCTTTCCTCCCCCTTCCCCCCGGCAATTCCCGGCGGGGCTCCGCAGCACTGAGCCGCACCGGAGGCTCCGGAGCCCGGCCTTCCACCCTGCGCGGCCGCCGGCCCGCCCGGCCCCAGGACCTCACCTGCGGGGCCGGCCCCGGAGGCGCGAGCGGGCGGCGGGGAGCGCAGCCGCAGCCAGAGGTGCAGCGCGGCCCCGAGCACACACGGGCACAGCAGCACCAGCCAGTTTCGCATTGGCCGCCCCCGCCGGCTCCACCTCGCGCCCCCGCCGCGCGCCGGGCTCTCCCGCGTCCCGGCGGAGACGGAGGGGACCCGCAAGTGCGGAGCTTGAGGGGCGGCGGGAGACGCCTGCGCAACTACTCCGGGCACGCCCGCCCTCGCGCCCGGCGCCGCCTGGGCTCCTCTCGGATCCCGGCCCCGCGCCTCAGGTCCCTCAGCCCGCGGGCGGCGGCTGCACAGCGGGCCGGAGCCCCGCCCCCTCCGCTCGGCCTTCCCACCGGCTCCGCCCACCCTTTCTCCCACTCGCCCCGCCCTCTCCTCGCGCGTCCCCACCCGCGCCCGCCGGCCGGCCGGGAGCTGAAGTCCCGCTCTGGGCCCAGGCAAGAGGCGCACTGGGGAGACTGAGGCCCGAAAACTACATTTCCCACAATGCCACGCACGCGTTCCGTCACTCGTAGGCCGCGGAGGCGAAGCTCGAGGCCCCACACGGAACATGCGCACCCTTTCTCGGCGCCTGCTGCCACCCACCGGCCGAGGGGAGGTGGTGCCGGGCTCCCTGGCGCTCAGAGGCTGCCCCAAACCGGGAAGAGAAACGCGGCTTAGACAAAGGTTGCGGTTTGCCTCAGACTGTGAGGAGATACGAGTGGTTCTTGTTGGAAATCACGCAGAGCTCCCTTGTGCGGATGCTCGCCCGCTCCCCCTCCCCGCAGTGGAAGATGGGAGCCTGCCGACGCCTCCTCGGCCCGAAGAGCGGGACGATAAAGCCCGCGTGCCGGCGTCTTGAACGACGAATCATCGGGGATTAGCTCCGGTGCAGTGTGTTCCCGGCTCTTGGCCCGGTTCTGTGCTCTAGGAACGCAGGCTGAGGAAGACAGCGCCCAGGGGACCGGGCTGTGGAGTACGGTGGAGACTGTCCCATGGGGGTAGAATTGCACCTGCCGGGCACGGTGCATTCCCGAACGGGAGGTGAACCGAGGGAGCCGCGCGAACCGGGCTCTGTGGAAGGGCTTCTGCAGCTCCTTCCAAATGAAACTGCCCCAGCTTCGTGCACCTGCGGCCGGGGGACCCCCGCCCGCGGCTGGCTAACAGGGGAAGAGGGATTGAGGGTGCTGACGTTAAGAAGGTGGGGGGAAAGCATAAGAATGAGTGCCTGGGCTATGGGGTGTGTGTTTGTTAAAGTTTCCACGAGTTGTTGAGAAAAGTTTTGATTGACAGAAGATCCATCTCAAACAAGCATAAAGTTCTTTATTCGAGTAACAACGCTCCAGCCCTGGATTTACCAGACACTGTCAGTATCAAGAGTCTCATTGAGTGGCAACTTAGTTCCAGCAAAGCAACCCTCTGTTGAAGTTACTTTTTATTTGGTGGTTTTGTAATATTGTCTGCTGTGCTATATTTAATTTTAAAATGTTTGGTTTAATAGTTATATAAAAGCTATAAGCCTCGGAGTTTATACTGTGTGTTTGTATTAAATTAATAAAGGTAATTTAACTCATGTAGGGCCAGAAATTGTTTGTTTGGGTTTTTTTTTTTTTTCTCTTTAGAACGGATTTGTATTATATATTTGTTAGTTATCTGTTGTTACTTAACAAATAAATCCAAAACTCTTAAAACAACAATAATCATTTATTATCTCTCATGATTTCTGTCAGGAACTTGGGAGGTAAGTTCTGGTTCAGGGTCCCTCATAAAGCTGCAGGCAGATGTCAACTAGGGCTGCAGTCAGCTGAAGGCTTGACTGGGGCTGGGGAATCCACTTTTTAGGTGGCTCACTTATATGGCAGATGCTGCAATGCCTTTTATGACAAAGCATTGGAAGACATGCAGTGTCGCTTCTGCACTTGTTTATTGATCACAGAGTATCCCTGATTTACTGTGTGAGGAACCACACAAGGGCATGAATACTGGGGGCAAGGATCATTGGAGCCCATCTTAGAGGCTGGCTACAACAGTATATTATGCAAATTTGAGAAACACTATTGTTTCTGAACAGCTTTGGGAGTCTTTTAGGGTCCCTCCAGACTCTCCATGGTCCCCAAAGACAGGAATGCTTTTTCCTTCTTATGGGAAACAGATGGAATTAAAAGGCTGGGATTATTGTGGCTCTTGGGCAAATGTCACCAACGTCTGCACACCCCTTTCGAAGACATTGTGTACATATTTGAATAAGAAAGAAGAATATGTAATGTTTAGAAATTTCTTGTTAGAAATTTTTCTTTGTTTAGAACCATGCTGACTTACTTTCTATATTTCAATTAAAGAAATTGTTAAGAAAGTAATAATTGGTTGTCTCAAAGAGTATACTATATTTAACCTCAAGAAAAGTAGTAAATGGTTTGTTGATATCCTATAATTTTCATTTTGTGAATAAAGAATTATAATGAGTTAACCCCAAAAGAGGAATTATCCCTAATTTTGCCAGATCTATTCATTCAACAAATACTTATTGAGCATCTATTATGTGCCAGGCAATTTTGTATGTACTTTGGATACATCCATGAACAAAACAAACATCCCTGTCCTGTAGTGATGGGGGTGGTGTGCAGACTATAGCCATAACAAAGAAATACACTTGACCAGGATATTAGAAAATGGTGTCATGGAAAATATAGAAAGTAGGGCAGGGTAGGAGAATTGTGAGAGTGAGACAGAAATGGAGCAGATTGCAGTATTAGATAGCAGTATTTAAATAACTGTTCAAAGTTACAATGAACACTAAAGGGAGGAACAAACAAAATCACCTTACTATATTAACTAATCAAGGTGTTGTTACTTCCAGTTAACAATCTAGAGGAGAATTTTTTTCACTGGCACTCAGACAAGCCTGCAACAAAAATAGCTTTTAATAACTTTTTAGCATCCTTCATATCACCCCACAGTGGGAGCCGCCTATATCACCTGTTGATAGGATCAGTGACCCTTAGACCTGCTGTCTACTATGCCTAATAAACTCAAGACTATGGTAAGTAAAGATCATAAGAGAGTATGTACAATAGAAAGAATAAAATTTTAAAAACCCAGTGATGATATCAACAGTCTGGGCAGTCAAGGTGTGTTCATAGTCTATGATGTGAACAAGTTAACAGAGAATTAGAAGTAGGGAGAGGCAAACTAGGATGGTTAGTCACCCTGATTACAATTCAACATGATAAGTAATTACAATTCAATGTGAGAAAGGAAGGCATAGGGTGTTATAGCAGCACATAGCAGGAGGCACAGTCCTCCCTCAGTATCTACGAGGGATTGTTTCCAGGACCCCCCATGGATAGCACAATCTGGGAATGCTCAGACCCTGATATAAAATGGTGTGGTATTTGCATATAACCTATGCACACCCTCCATATACTTTACATCACCTCTAGGTTACTAACCATATTGGATACAATGCCTACCCATCACTTCATTCTAGTGGATTCAATGGCATGTGACAAATTTAAGTTTTGCTTCATGTAACTTTGTGGATTTTTTTTTCTGAGTATCTTCCATCTGTAGTTGGTGGAATTCATGGACGTGGAACCCATGGGTAGGGAGGCCTAACTGTATTTAACTCAGCCCAAAGCTCCCTAGAGGAGGCTATCCCTTGAAAACAGGGCTGGGGCTTGAAATCAGAGACCAGTTAACAAGGTAGACAGTAAAAAGGCCATTCAAGAGGGCCCTAGGCAAAACAAAAAATTCTCTTTTCTTTAAGAGTCAGGGTCTCATTCTGTCACCCAGGCTGGAGTGCAGTGGTACTGTCATAGCTCACTGCAGCCTCAAACTCCTGGGCTCAAGTGATCCTCTTATCTCTGCCTCCCTAAGTGCTGGGACTACAGGCATGAGCCATTGTGCCTAGTCTCCTCTCAATACTCTTATTTCTGATGAATTTTATAATCATTTTTCACATTTTTTCTGCTTCCTCCTAAACTTTATATTTAATACATGGTTATAATAACAAGTATAAGTAATACAAATGTAATGTTAGACTCCTCTTTTGGCCCAACCTTATCTTTTTCTCCAGATTTAACCACTATAGCCTAGATATTTCTTCCTGTGTATATATTTTGAATTGTCACAAATTCTTTACTTTTCCAGGGATGGGAAGGGAAGAAGTGCCTTTGTTTTTAATCCCCATGATTGCAATCTGTGCCCTGAACCTGCCTAACTCCAGAAATTCTAGTCCCCTCTCTAAATATTTATGAGTGCCCCAGGAGTGCTTGCTTTTCCCCAGAATCATCATTACTCTCATTGCCACCTCTTGTTCCAGACAGCCACTCTAGTCTTCTCCATCAGCTACCTCAACTAATAACCATTTCTGCAGGCATGGACGTAGTGCCTTCCTTTATCCTCCAAATCACAGCTAAGACACAGCTGTCATGTTTATCAGACTTTATTAAGGATTTAGTCTAAGCAAATACAGAAAGAAAAATTTGAAACTAGATATGAGATAAACTTGCTCCTACGGTCTCTCAGAAGAGTTCCCCACTGGCCATCTCTTGCCTTAGGCTCCCACCCCACCCAACCCCCTTAATGTCACTTCTGAGGGCTTTCTCATCTCCTCCATATGAAGGACACTTCTTGCAGGTTCTCTTTTCTCCAGTACAGGGCCCAATTCTATCCCTAGCCAATGAAGTCAAAATTGCCCTTGAAAATCTTTCAAATGCCTAAAATGTGGAGCATGTATGGTTTTGTGTATGTAATTCTATAGAAACATTTTTTTTTATTCTTCTAATTCTTTCTCATTAATGTTTTTCTGCAGACCTCAATCATTCACTTTCTTCCTCAAGGAAACTATCTTGCCTGGTCACTTATACAATAGGTTTCACTTTTTAAAAATTAATAGTTGGGAAACCTTAAAAACATTCAGACATTCTTTGCAAGGGTTTCAGGACTACTGCATTCTTTGCCTCATGTGAGTACACACTGCCTTTGCAATGTGCACCTTTTAAATGATTACTTCTCTTTCTTTCTTAGCCAATAGTTGAATTCTTTTAAATTAAATGCCTATGATAGGATACCAGATGATTGTTGCAGAAGACAACCTTTTACACTAGGAGATAGAAATCTTAACATCTCATTCTGAAGCATCGTGACTCATATTTTGGTTATGCATCAGTCAGGGCTTCTCTAAGAAGAGTAGAAAAACAGACACTGCCAGATCAGCCTTCAAACATGTGCTCAAGGCAAAGGAGGGAGGCTGGTGTAGCTGGAGCAGCGTGAGCTATGAGGAGAATAATAGGGGATCAGGTTAGAGATGTAGTCTCCAGCAAGAATATGACAATA